GCCCTTCACACAAATCTCTGCTTCCTCGCCTCAGGGTCCATGTCACATGGAGAGGGTCCGAAAAATGCGAAACATGGAAACGCGGTGGAAATGGGTTTGCCGCTCTGCCTCGCCTTTTTTGGGTTCTGAGTTGTTGTCGTGCCTGAGAACCATTTGGGGACCTGCTGCTTGTCCGACACTGCGCAAAACACGTAAATGTGGTGGCAGCGGGTTCGAGGCGATGGGCATGCCTTGGGTGAGCTCGACTGAGCAACTGCGTGCCACTTGAGGATATATATATATATATACTAAAACATAAGAAAACCAATGCGATGTGAGCAAAGCGACTCTCTGACATCGCATAGGTTGGCATGACAACGCACTGGAAGAGTTGCTCCATCTTGTCCGCCAGAACTGGCACCAAGGCCGCTGAGCAGTTACGGATCAGACCAATGCCAGCGCCCGTTGCGCTGAACTCATCAAATGAAAGGCCCGCCTGCAAAGTCATGTTTCTCAGCATTCTTGCCATGCATGCATTTTTCAACAAAATACGCTTGGACAGTGGTCAAGTTTTGAGTTCCTTAAGCATCTATCCCAATATTTGCCCCAACGGGGTTCATTGGGTACACTTGAATCTAGTCTGTAAGTGGCTTGCCGCCAATGGAGCCCACTTTCAGTCTTCGGTCCCATTGTCTTCAGCATTGTACCCCTTCAGGATGTTCATTCCTACTTGTTATGCAGGACTGGCGTATGATCAGCAAAGCAGGAAAATACTTTACGTCGAGTGATCCCCAACATGACATTTCAACCAATTGTTTTCATGCCATGATGAAAAGATGTGAAAAGCATGTTGCATCATGTTGCCATGGTCGTGGATTTGTGGTTTTCGATTTTGCTTCTGGGTCCTCGGGTTTGGCGGGTTTGTTATTTTTAGTGGGTTTGCAGTTGGCATCCAGAAGTGCTACCCTGTGACCACCTGCCACGCAAAAATGCCACACACACACACACTGACATAGGCAACTATATTGTTGTGGTTGTGTGTTTGTGATTGCCGTCCGGCAGCGCCTGCTGCGATGGGAGCTGGTGGTTGAGGTCTGGCAGTGCCCACTGCGATCGGGAGCTGGAGGTTGGGGTCAGGTAGTGCCCACTGTGATTTGGAGCTGGCGGTTGGGGTCCGGCAGTGCCCACTGCGATCAGGCACTTGCTGTTGAGGTCCGGTAGTGCCCACTGCGATCTGGCACTTGCTGTTGAGGTCCGGTAGTGCCCACTGCGATCTGGCGCTTGCTGTTGAGGTGGCGAGGAGCAGGCAGTTCAGGAGAAGAGCTCTGATAAAATCTTACAACCATTACATGGAATTACTTACATGTAAAATCAGGTGTACATAATGCATATGCATAACACAAATAAGATAACATGATGCCCCTTCAACAGAATGTCCTTTCGAACTTTCGAGCTTTGTTTTCCTTTGAATTCCTTGTAGGTGTGAAGGTTGACATACCGAAGCTCCAAGCCAAGCCACGTTGTTGGGCAAAGAACAGGTGGCGAAAACACACAACCAGGTACACTATGTCAAAACTAGCAGCATCACAGCAAGCCATGTTGCCAAAAAATGGCCTCAGCACATCGCGTAAGCAAACTTTGAACTTGCTGGATGTTGCCGGGGGAGGCGAAATGGCAAACAGCCGTGTCCCAACGGCAGGCCAGTTCAAGGAACACCAACGTAGGGCGGCGCTGTACGCGACATCGGTTTTCCTTTTCTTTTCGCAATTTTTATTGTGGGCAGGATAGCTATAGGGCCGATAACGCTCTTTTTGAGGGTGGAAGCAAATGGATTCCGAGGAAACATGCTCGGTATGGGCCTGGGTGATGTGTTTGCAGTGGGTAGAGGGATCTGAGACCCATGGCAGTTGACACAGCAAGTTTCAACGCGCAGGACCTCAGGATTGTAGGGGTTGCAATGTGGCGACTGGAGCGACGCATCCATATGGTCTTCTCGAGGGCACCAGCAAGCTGCACTTGGTTTAAGTTTGAGCTTCAACGATGTAAAGTTAGAGCATGCCTACCTTGAACTCTAGTGTGGCTGATGTGTAGTGATTTGATATCATTTTGGTGAGCTTTGGTGGATTGTCGTAGCATCTTGAAATGTGACATGTAGCCTGACCTTAGGGCAAGGGCAATGGGTGAGCGAAGGACACGGGGAGTTTATCTTCAACCCGTGACAGCCTCCTTTTCAGTGCTTTTCAGTGCGCCCAAGGCAACAAATATTTTTCTTCTGGTACCATCGGTACCTGTGCTTGCGCTCGTCCAGCGGCCCAAGGCCCGGAGCCTCCCTGAGACGGGATCTGCAGGTCGGAGGTCGGTCAGCCAAACTCAAACTCACCGAGCTTTTACCCGTTGAAGTGGAGGTCTTGGCTCCACCTGCGGGCTTGACCTAGAGCAACACCACAAGCAAGGAACATTGTGCTACCCGTGCTAGCGTCGTATGGTTCCCTACACATACGACAGAAGCTCACTTGCGGACTTTGAATTGAATGACTTTGACAACCAGGAGGTGCATGCAACACGTGTCCGAAGCGCGAACCAGAACCTTCATGGAGTGAAGAGTGGAACAATGTGCTCAACACCCCTGCAGAAACGTAACAGAAAATGCACGCCTATGCTCGCCTGCACGCAAACAACAACACACAAAGAGAGGAAAGCCTCCACGATCCCTTGGTGCATGGTGGGCACTGCCGAATACCAGCTGGCTGCGCCAGACGCCAACCACTGCGTAGGTTGATCTGGGCCTTTGTAGCCCGGGGTGCAAACGACAGATGACCCAGACATGGCACTTGCCAGCACATTGACGGAGAGGCCGTGGATATGGTACAAAGGCATGAGGTTCAAGCACCTAAGCTACGGCACTAGTGTCTTCAGTGGCATGCATGGTTTTGCAGCACAGCTGGAGCTGAACGCTCATCTCATGCCCGGATACACGTCTTCTCTTTGCCGTCTCAAGGTTGATGTAATGCAAAGTGCGCCGACTGTGAGGTTTTCATGAGTCAACGGCACCTGAGCAGAAAGTGGGAAAACTCAAACTATCAGTAAAAGAGCTAAAACAGCCCGCACTTATGACCCTACTAAATCAGCAATCGGCCAACCACACCACCCGACAAACTGCAAGCTAGTTGCAATTTTGGGCTTTTTCGTGGTGCCAGAGGTATGGAGAACCAGAGCAATATCATCCCGTCCACTTTGCTTCTCAGCGTTTGGAAGTCTTCTCTCTAGACTTATGGGGCTTTGCTTGTGCAGCTGAAGGGAGAAGAGGCCTGCAACTTTTGGATGCCGTTGCATCTCCAGCACTTGAACTTTCTGTCCAGCAGCCACCTGGCTCTCAAAACTATCTTCTCTTGGACTCCCAGAGCAAGGGCGTAACATTGAACATATGGTGCATGTTTCAATTGACGTGTCCACACCTGGAGGGTAGCGGAGTTGTCTTCTCCGCTCATTACAACC